TAGCAATATCTAGCAGCGCAAGATAGTTAATATTTTACTACGGCAGTCTGGTAGTGTTACCATGACAGTACAATGATTGTCATTGTGTAAATGGGCCTTTATGTGAAATGAAAAATTCTTTAATTTTTAGTGTATATTTACTTATTTAATGCATCATATTTAGAATTGTATGAATTGCGTTCCCTTTCCATTTCTTTAACAAAATAATTTATTTTGTTATTTATTTCAGCACGTTCACGTTCCAGAATTTCAATCTTTTCCTTCAAAGTTTCAGAAGACTCTTCTAATTCACATTTTGTTTGTGACATTGTTTCAATTTCATTGATTAATTTACTAAGACAGAAAAAATAAATTATATTTAAAAAATGTATAAATAATTTTAATTTTATAAATAAAAAAGTATACAATTTCTGTCATACTAAAATACATTTTTTTTTCAGTCTTTTTGATCAAAATGAATTTAAAGGTATGATTATACAACATGTTCAACTTACGAAAGTCTTTCATTTTTTTCAGTTACATCTGTTAACAAACGTAATCGTTTTTCTTGGGCTGCTAGTTCTTGTTCCAGAATTATAACAGTTTGTTTTTTAGCACTAACTTGCGCCATCATTGCAGATTTTTTTTCTGTTATTTCATTTTTCAATCTTTTTAGACGTTCATGATCGGCTTTTAATAAATCTGGTGACTCAACAATTTGTGCTCTAAGATCATTTATATCTCTTATGATCTAAAATAAAAAGTATAATTATAAAATAATATAAATGGATATAATAATATTATAGTAAGTCGTAAGCACTCAAACTTTATTTTTTTTAATTACTTAAATAATTTTTACACGCCATCTATTCAAATATTATTAATAGACATGTAGATGGGATGGATGTGAAATTTTTACAAACAATTTTTTTTTTATGGGGTTTATTGTCAGGATTTTAAACACAAATTTATGGAAAGGGTTAGTCTTTAAAATTGAAGACTAGTTTTTGATACAAATTTACAGAATACCAACTGAAATATAATATTTTACCATAATAGAGCGTGTCACACCCTCACTCAACACATTTCAATTTGTCCCAGTTCATAGTTAAAGAATAAAAACTTAATACTAGATTTATTATATTAAAATGAACTACCAATGCTATATTTTATCAACACATTTTTTTTAAATGAACTGTCTAATGATAAAAATCTTTGTTTAATTGGTAAATGTGTAAATGCTTCAGAAAAAAAATACCACCAAAAAAATTAAAATAATTAAATTTTTTAACAACCACTCCTAAGTAGCCATAATTTAGTAAGTCAAACATACCAAAGCTACCAAAAAGTAGCCACGGATTTTTATTGTGTGAATTATAATGACTTGTTCTCCATTCCTTTGGTTTTTGGGTAATTGTTACTTTTGTGGTTAGTCATAAGTTTAACGGTAAGTGTTCTGGTACTACTGATGTCACGTCTGATGTGTCTCAAGGTGTCTCCGGTACTATTAGCATTTTTCATAAATAGCATCAGATTACAATTAAAGAGGTTGCCAATTTTTCATCTTGATTGATGATATAAAATTATATGTTTGTGTTGATAAGATTTGTGACTGAAATTGCTCCAAAGTAAATTTAATACCTAGGTAACTAAGTCAAGACTGCTCGGTTAGGAACTTAGTATTTCTAAGTGTCATTTTATGTAATTTACAAGTGCTCAGTTTGTAGTGTTAAAGACCTTGGCACTCTCTAAACTAATGCACATATTGAAAAAGTTATGAAAATGCTTGGTTTCATAAAAAGAATTTCATCAAAATTTAAACTGTATAACTCTCTACAAGCATTAATATTGCTCCTTTGTTCATTCCTATTTAGAATATGGTGTTGTGATTCGGGATCCATCCACATTGCGTAATACCTGCCACATTGAGCATGTGTAATGTTCTTTTTTTCTGAAAGAAGAGTCCCTCTAAACGGCTACATACCAGTATAAGAATGGCTAAATTTAGATACGTTGAATAATTTAATAATCCCGGCTAACTTATTATTCTTATCTTAACTGATTAGTGTGAAGGTTGATTCAGACCTATCAGCAATGGTTAATTTATTAGATCCTAGTGCAAAATTTCAAATATTTTCTCCATTCCATGTCCCAAATTGTATTAACTTTAACAAGTCTATCCTGTAATGAAAATTTCCAGGCCAACGAGGCCAAAATGATCACTACTATATACCCATAATTTTATCTTTTGTTAACTGTTAACTTTCTTATATCAATATTATTTTGTGTATTTGTAATAATAATGTTTTGTGTTTTATAGTATATACAAAGGCCTTATCCTGTGAATTTATTATAAATAAATAAATATATATAGATTTATTGAAGCAAATGTTAATTTTGATTTCACGTATACTGTAGTACAACATAATATTATGTATTAGTATATATACACTTATTTGTATACTAAATTAAAAAAATATTATAATGATTGAAAAAAATACATTACATTATCTTTTAGTTCACATAACTTTGAACATTTTTTTTCAATATCCTCTTGATCTTGTTTCACTTTCTCCAATTCTTTAAGTACATCATCTCGATGTTTTTGAATTTCAGCCAATTTAGACTTTCCATCTTTCACTTCATCGGCGACCTTAAAATAATATGATAACCAAAATACAAATTAACAAGTGAACAATAAAAATGTATTATATAATATACCTACAGTTTTTATTTCAGCTCCTCGTTGTATACGGTCCAGTGACTTTTTATTAATTGTGTTTACAATAATATCTTTTTGCTTTTTAAATCTATCAATTGTATCTTTCATATTTCTAACAGCTTTCATTTTAGCATCAACTTCATGTATTTTTTCATCACTATATTTAATGAAGTTTATCATTGTTTGCAGCAATCGATAAGTTCTTTTTGAACCTTTAAAATAAAGTTTAAACTTAAGAAATATTATTAAAAAACTTGGACAGGGTACAAACACATGGACTAGATTCTTTCTTTCTCTGTGCCTACATCGGTATAAAAAATAAGATTTTATAGCAACAATTATAATATTTAAAAAAAACACATATTTTTTGTATCCTAACTGCTCAATTTAAGAAAGCAAGTATGGTTTATAATAATGTTATATTATATGTTAAAATATAACTAAGGTGTTAAGGTAATGCTTTGTGTAAGGATTTTTCAATAGTTACAATTTAAAAAAAAAAAAAGTACTATTTTATCACCAATTTCAATTGGACATTGGTTATAATTATTTAAAATTAAAAAACCTATAATCTTGGCTATTAGATTAAATGAACACTTAGTACATTTTATAAAAAGTTAGGCTTATCTAATTTGAATGATTTTCTAGCAAAATGTTAAGCTTTTGTTAAGGAAACAATTTAAGACAGTTAAATATTACAATTACTAATGTCTAATACTACTCACTCGGATCACATATATCATTTAAACCAAAATCATCAATTCCCAATTTTGAGTAAATATATTTCAAAGCTGTGCACATGTTCAATATTGGTACAGTTTCACAGTACATTTCATGGTACGTGAGATTTTGATTGATATGGATCTACAGTCAACAATCGTAGATATAAATAAAAATATTTGAACACCATCTTTTCACAGAATTATGAATTGTTATGCTCATAGAGTTGTATAATAGAATAACAGTTTTATGAAATGTAATGTATACTGAATGATATGAAATATGAAAAATACCTCGATCAAATTATTCACATCACAGAAGAATTCGTTGAACACGTCCGTGTAGAAATTTGTAACAAACGATTGAGAGGGCTCTTGTAGATCTTTGATAGTTGCTTTGAATTGCGGCATATATTGTTCTAGTTCGTTAATGAGGTTACCGTATTCGACATACATTGACGATTTGTTTTGCTTGGCCATTGTGGTGACGTTTGGCTGCCAAGCCATTTTCTAGTTTCCGAATGATGTAACAGAAAGAAGATGGGTATTTTGTTATGGGTAATTTATAAATTTTACGTTTCAACTTTCAAATTCAATAAATTTTAAGTTTGAATTCGATGATCGAATTTTAATTGATAGTGGTTACTGCCTTACTGGTTTCAGGTTTGTCAATTATAATTAATATAATATTTTTAAATTTTTATTTTTTTAACGATTCTTTTCCTTATCTCGATTGCGATGAATGGGGAGGTAAACAACAAACTTTGCAGACACTCGATTGGTCGAATGCAGTGGTATCTATGAAGCCGCAGCAGCGTCTTGCCCTTTCTCCGAGAAGTTTGCGATTCAAAAAAAGCGGGTAATTAGACGCTTTGGGTTACGTTCGGCCACGTACAGTACTACGGTATTGTTCTGTGGTTCGGCGGTTAGTAATTAATAATTATACATGCAATGCCTCATTTAGGGAGGGGTGCAAGGTGGTCATTTGCCAGTCAGATTTTAAAAGCCGCCCGTTTGTTGGTTGGGCAGTATTACATTTTTTTACCTCAAAAACATGCCTATTGCCGTATTGTGTATTCACTAAGAAATTATTGTCCCACAATGACAAATTAGTAAACGCTTATATAAATAGTTGGAAAATATTTATATTTTGACGCATGTGATGACTTGCATGAAATTAGTACGCATGTGTGTAGTGTACTAGTGTGTTAGCAGGAAAACTCAAAAGGAACGTAATATATGAATGTGTGCTTGTTATTGGGTTTTTTTAAGTTACACATTTGGCCTGATCAAAACTTTTTTCACCTTTAAAAACTGAAACGACGCCCCTGGTGATGTGTTAATGTTACACAGGGACAGGGCTATAATCACCTACTGCTAAGTAGCACGACATTGCCGATATTGTTATTTTTGAAGTACTGAACCTCATGACAAAATACATTTGTTGATCTAAGATAATTTAATTCCAAATGATCTTGTAGAATAAATTTTAATGTTAAAATAAATCGAAACCCTTTGTTTAAACTCTGACTGAATATTATATTAAATAACATTAAGATGAATTCAGCACAATATTTGTATTCTGTCTCAAACCCAAGAGCAACATAGATAAAACTCATTCATGTAACATCATTTTAACATGTTAAAAATGATTTTGTGTGACTACATTTTGTTTATGTTCACAATGTCCAGAGAAACAAGTGGGGGTTGACATAACTTAAGACATTAATTATGAGAGTTTTTGGGCTTAATGATTAAGTTCCACATACATCATATTATAATACAAATAATACACAGTTGGTCTTATAAAATAACAATTAATGTATAATATATATTGATATCAAATCAAATGTTGCGCATTAGGTTAAGGCTAGTAACTTAAAAATTAGTTGTATATAATGAAAATAAATTTGTAATAGAGAATTTATAAAATAAAATTTATTATCAATATAATTAAATTTATTGATAATATTATAATATACTGAATTATGTAATTTAGTCACAGTAAAATAGGTAACTGGAAGCAAGTAGCCCAGGAATGTCCAGTTAGAAGGAATTATGTCGTAATAACTTAAGTATAACATCAACTGAAGTCCTAAAAATAAAATGTATGATTTAATAATGTTTCAAACAAATTTTAAATCATTTAACTACTTATAGAATTTTATTCTATTATAGGGATGAATTTAAAAAAATAAATATTTTTTACAACTTTCATAAATATTATATAATTATTTAAAAAAATGCAAGTTTAACTACACATACATCTTCAAACAATCTACTTTTAAATATTTACATGAAAAAAAAATATTGGAATAAAAATAATATTACATATCAAAATGTTATGAAGTAATTTATTTGATTGTAATATTTGTAATGGTTAATCATACCATCGTACGTCTCGTATCACCCGCTACTCGATCTAACAGCTAAAACAAATTAATAAGCAATATTTTAGTCCTGCCTAATTAAATTTGTTTTGAAATTATTAATAACTCACTCCAGTTATGCCAGGCAAATTGAGTAAAGTCCCCAATAATGGTACACGGCGCATGAAATTTATTGCTACTGGAAAAAAACCACTGAAAAACATATAAACTGTTAAATATTTGAAACTTAATAATTAGAGAACCTAATTATGTGTAAATTCATAGGTATAATTATTAGATTAGGGTATTTTTAATCTAATAAAAAATGTGAATGTTTGAAATCATTTTTGTTAGGTAAAAGAACACCAATTTAGTTACATGATATAAAAATATATTATATCCAAAATAACTTAATCTCAAAAGAGATAATTATTTACCTGAACAAAAGTATAAATCCATAAATTTCTAATAGCATTCCTACGATTGGCCATCCAAAAAGAACGACTGATATCCCGCCAAAAAACGACAGAGATGCTTTAATTTTTTGCCTCTGGAAAAAGAACTTTAAAGTCCGTTGTACACCAATAACACAGCTAAGACCCACTATGAACAATATCTAAATAAATAAATAAATATGTAATCAAACATAAATAAATAATTATACAACTTATATTTTTACTTGTGTACATAACTTTACAAATTAAGTTTAAAATAGTGATATTAAAGACAGTATATTATCATCTGATATAAATCTGTATAGGTACTAAGTACTCACATTGCCAATGGCTAATAGTCCTTTGTCAAACAGCAATAACATGCCCAGGAATAGAAACGATATTCCAAAACCTGCCAAGCCGACTCCGATTTCTGTTGGAAAAAAAATGTATTTATTCAGACATAATACAGTATTGAATAAGACAACTGCATAAACACGTACTTTGTAAATCAGTTATTTCAAACATTGAAGACATTTGAAAGAAATTTCGTCACAGAAAAATATATTTAGAAATCATTATTAATAACACAAATATTATAAAAAACCTTTCAACACTGTGTTACGAAGTCATATTATGTACCATTTTATTTAACGACAGCCAAGTACTCAGTACGGTACTTCAGAAGTTAAGTACAAAAATCGTGAACAAATAACAATATAGTATAATAAATTAAAATATTGTGATTATAGTAAATATTATATTGGAAAATTGTAAATACTGAAAATTAAAACATCTTAATTCGCGGTGGCGACTAGACTTGTTGGGCTTGACATTTGGGTCTTGAGAGCATAATAATAGTAATATAATATTTATATTCCACGATTTAAATTTGATAACAGCTATGATAAAATGTGTTGATTGATTTTGATCCAAAAGCTGATATTGTTTTGTGGTATAACCACGATTAAAGATATATATCTATGATATATATATAAGATGTATATCTTTAATCGTGGGTATAACCTACAACTATTTTCGCACTCATAGGGCAACACTGTATCAGCTACGACACAGTTGGACTTAATAGATAGTCCGTGGTGTACGTAGTAGAGTTGTTATCAAATTGATGATAAAAAGTGAAATTTCAAAACAAGTTTTTTACATGGCTGGTACGCTTATTAATTTATTTTATTTGGGGTAAGTCAGCGTCAAAATGGTTTTGGCCGATTTGGGCCGCAAGATCACTTCGGCCCTTCGGGGTCTGAATAACGCCAGCGTCATCAATGAGGAGGTAAGTTAATGGTTTACTGTGTGTATTGAAAATGTATTAAATTCGAACTATGTATGTCTGTTTTAGGTGTTGAATTCCATGCTGAAAGACATCTGTGCGGCACTGCTGGAAGCCAACGTTAATGTTATGCTAGTCAAAAAACTTAGGGAGAATGTACGTAATGTTATTGATTTTGACGAGATGGCCGGAGGTCTGAATAAGAGGCGCATGATACAGAGCGCAGTGTTCAAAGAACTAGTGAAAGTATGACAACGCACACTCGCAACTTGATGGGTACTTTGTTTCAATCTCAATACTCATTCTGATTTGTTTTCAGTTGGTAGATCCTGGTGTAAAATCTTACCAGCCAGTGAAAGGACGACCAAACATTATTATGTTTGTCGGTCTACAGGGATCTGGTAAGACAACCACTTGCACCAAGTTGGCATATTACTATCTAAAAAAAAATTGGAAAACTTGTCTCGTGTGTGCGGATACCTTTCGTGCTGGAGCCTATGATCAATTGAAACAGAACGCTACTAAAGCCCAAATACCTTTTTATGGAAGGTATGATAAATAATTTATATCTTAGTTGTTTGTTACCTTTGGCTGCTGTAGCGCTTGTATATTAAATAACTACAAGTTATCTTGCATCTTAATTTATTATTTCTAGTTATTTTATGTTGATTTTTATTTCAGTTACACAGAAGTAGATCCTGTTGTGATAGCTCAAGATGGTGTAGATATGTTCAAAAAAGAAGGTTTTGAAATAATTGTTGTTGACACTAGTGGACGACACAAACAAGAAGCTTCTTTATTCGAAGAGATGTTACAAGTGTCAAATACCATTGTGAGAAAACTTTAAGAAAATGTTCTATACTCCATTAAAATGTCATATAATATTGATTATCTTTATCTATTTTAGAAACCTGATAACATAGTATTTGTTATGGACGCAACAATCGGTCAAGCTTGTGAGGGGCAGGCTCGAGCTTTTAAAGATAAAGTCAATATTGGTTCTGTAGTGATCACTAAGCTTGATGGCCATGCAAAAGGAGGAGGAGCACTTAGCGCGTAATTAATTTATACATATTAATTTTTTGCTATCAATTTCTGTTATATTACAATATATTTAAAAAACTTTATGTCATTGATGGATTGTTGATTTTGGTTTTAATGGATATTGGATTTTGAGCCAGTAAAATATGCTAATGGTTTGTTCAATTTTTAATTAGTGTGGCAGCTACGAAGAGTCCAATTATTTTCATTGGTACTGGAGAACATATAGATGATTTTGAACCATTTAAAACAAAGCCGTTTGTCTCCAAATTGCTTGGTATGGGTGATATTGAAGGACTTATCGACAAAGTAAATGAATTAAAACTAGAAGACAATGAAGAGCTGATTGAAAAAATAAAACACGGACAGTTCACAATAAGAGATATGTATGAGCAATTTCAAAACATTATGAAGATGGGTCCATTTTCCCAAATCATGGTTAAGCTTTTGTTGATTTTCTATTGTTAAAATTATTGTTAAAGAGACTTACTTTTACCTATACATTCTTATAGGGTATGATACCAGGATTTAGTCAAGACTTTTTATCTAAAGGTAGTGAAATGGAATCTATGGCTCGATTAAAAAAGCTTATGACAATTATGGACAGTATGAATGATGGAGGTGAATTATATCAATACAATTAAATGTATAGTTAACTGGATAATATAAAACTTTATGCTTTTATTTACATGATAGAACTTGACCATAGAGATGGAGCAAAATTGTTTACAAAACAACCAGGACGTATAATTAGAGTATCTCAGGGAGCGGGTGTTACAGAACGTGAAGTACGAGAGCTTATATCTCAATATACAAAGTTTGCTGGAGTTGTAAAAAAAATGGGTGGAATCAAGGGATTATTCAAGAGCGGTGATATGTCCAAAAATGTCAATCCATCACAAATGGCCAAACTTAATCAACAAATCACCAAAATGATGGATCCCAGGGTTTTGCAGCAAATTGGTATTTTTATGCACTAAGCAATTCTAAAAATTCTAACATTTAGTAAAGTGATTTGTGTGTTTTGTAAATATGAAAACCTTATGATTTGCAACATTTTTTTTTCTATTGAGACAATTTTAGCTATTTATTTTCCATAATAATATTTATTAATATTATTTATATTTATTATATAACAATAATACTTTTTAGGTGGAATGCCAGGATTGCAAAATGTTATGCGACAGTTACAACAAGGCGCTGGAGGAGGTCTTGGTAATTTAATGGGCGGTTTAGGCAAATAAATAATTGTAAACAAATAAACTCTTTCCAAAATATATTATGTACTTTTTCATCTGTACAAATTCCATAAAGTAATATAGATAATTGTCTTGTGTAAGTTGTTTCCCTTCCCATACGATAATTACTCTAGTTATACTTGTTATGCTGGTACTACTGATTCTAAAATTAATATTTACATCCAAATGAATCTATTGTAAGTATTTGAATACAATTTATATTTTATTTTGTAAAAAGAAAAACTAATATAAGTTTGTTTTTGGTTATTAAATATTATAATGTATTGTGAAAGCATAGATACGTCTTGATTACATATTTTGATCAATGTGATTTTCTAAAAAAAATATATAAAAAATATAAATTTTTTTGTGCTCAGATTTTTTTTGTGTTTGTAATAATTATTTTAATAAATTGATATTGACAATCATTTAAAAAAAAAAAAATTGCTAATTACTTGAAAATTGATATGGTTTGCCATGCTCGGTTTTATTTTACAATGGTGGGTATTGAAACTTAAAAACATGTGAGATATTAGGATCACAATTGCGGTTAAGCTTAAGACCATAGTATCTAATAATGTTTAACAAGTATACCCATGTAATCTAATACCTAGTTATATTTAAATTATTTAATATTTTAAACATTTAATCAACAACATACCTACTGGTTAAAAACATAATATTTAGATTTTATTTAAATGAAAATGTCAAAGTTTTCTCATATTTTGAGCTTATAAACTTATTGGGAGGGGCTTACATTTTACTATACGTTGGCTATATATTTTTCATAATCATTTTTATCATATGATAAAATATAACTTTATTAGAAAAATACAGTTATCTGGCTTAAATGTATTTCCACATAGATATAAAAGTGTATGGAGTTTCATCATTAGTTATAAGTGTTATAACATATAATGAATTACAAATTAAAAATCATTAAAAACAATAATAATATAGGTATTCAGGTTGGCTAAAGGGGCTTTACCCTTCCCCTTTTTGGAAAATGGTATACTATGTAGTATGTACCCGATGAGTAATGATTTATACAATATATTTCGTACATCTTAAATTCCATGAGTTAGAAGTATAAATCAAAATTGTAATATTTGTTACCAAAACTTATCTATAATATGTTGTGAAATAAAATTATAATTGTATATATTTTGAGAAAAAATTACTCCCCCCTTCCCAGGTGACGACCTGAATACGAGGTCAATTTTATATTTGAAAGGGCTTTCGCCAATTACCACCCATATGATTGTACCGGTAAAGAGTCGTTTCGTCCACATCAAAAAAACCACTTCACGGATATTTCGTTCCCGGCAATTATTAAGATGGGACATTTTGTCCCTTGGAGTCATTTTAGGACGTTTGATCCTTGTCATATTCTGTTTATATGACATTCGGTTCCCAGGTTTTTTGAAACATTATTAATTTCTTCAAAAATTCATTATTTCATTAACAATTAATTTATTAATTGTTAATGAACAATTTAATAATGTTCAAATGACAATAGTACAATACCACAAATGCAAATACATAATCGTACAATATAATTTAAAATAATCAAGATTTAAATAAATTACAGTTCATTATATTAAGTCGAAACAAAATGTCATGACAATGAATAAATTAAAATTGAATACTTGAAAATTATAAATAAATAATATATTTAATTTTAGGTCAACTGACTTATGTTTTTTTAATAGTAAAACAGTATACATAATCTTCATTATATTTACCTATAGTCTATTGCCTATATAGGTATATACGACATTGTCGACATTGGTTAATTTGTCTGTTAACTTTAACCAAAATATGCAGGTGACGAAACGCACGTGGACTGGTTTTTTGACGGGGATGAAACGGCGGTGGCGAAACATCCGCTATTCGCTTATCGTTTTTCATATTTTACTGTATTTTTTTCAGGCAAGCTATATGTATGGGAATATGCTTGAATCTTATTTTATCATTAAAATATTATATTAACAAAAGTAAAATGAGGTATAAATTAATTATTATCGTGACTATATAGTGTCGTTATATAGACATTTCCAATGTACCTATATGTATGGAATGAAAGACTGTGGATTATATATATGTATGTATTTATTGTATTTATGTGTATAAAATCTGTTTTGTAGAAAAATATTTTCACATTTTTATGTGTAGTTAAAACGGCAAAATCATAAGCCAAATCTCGCCACTCGTGTATAAGTACACCATTGATCGTTAAACTACATATTTATATCTATAACTATCATTTGTTAATTATATAGAGACAAGTTAGGTAGTGGGTACCCATATGGATGTATGAATATGACTAAGTATCTATATGTTTTATGTTTTGGAAATTTGGTACTATAAGTAGCAGGTGTAAATACGTACCAAAATATCTACATCACGAATCACGATTCCCATAAAAGATGTATTATTTATTATTAAACATTAAAAATGTTTTATGTGACTGCCTACATAATATATTTGATATAAGTGTATAAATTTAATAGGCAGAGCCCCATGGTCCATGACAAATTTCCAATTGATATTATAATGGGCATTGAACCGAACTTTTGTGTTATTCAATATAGGTAACACATATTATACTTCTCAATTTCTTATTCATTCATATATAATGGTAAATGAATTTGTATTATTATTATAACAAACGTCCAACAAGGTTTCTATAGGCGCTGTATTTTGTAATATATTATGTATCAAATGACTAATACTGTGTATTTTATACTCAATAGTAAATACACACCACTATGCTTACCAAATAAATGTCTTACAAAAGTATTAAGTGCCAAACTCCTCAAAATATAACCAGGGGCAGGCGGAATAATTCTTGTATAAGATTTAATAAGCTGAACTTTTTAAAATATGAATCATGGTAGATATTTAAAAATAACGGATATAAGTACCTATAGGCTATAGACTTAAGTCAGTCAAAAATACTTTTCAAATGTATTCAGAAATTCGGAATAGATACGTCATACGTATTAAAAATACTTATTATTATTTGTATTTGAAGTACGAATTCGAATACTGTCATTAGAAAGTTTTTGAGTATAAATCAAATACCTACATTTTAAAAGTATTAGGTAGAAATACTTAACAATTAAGTAGCTACTTCAAATAATATTCAAGTCACCTGTAGTTATAGTGACCCGTCTATCGGTTATATAAGTAATTTACACGATTTAAGATAAATATTAAATTGTGGTTCTCTACTATGGTTGTCACATCTTCTTTATCATTATTTTATTACATCATAATATCGTATTATTTAATACCAGTAAGACTATCCCACCCTGACAATTTATCTAACAAAAATATAGGTCGGTATTCTTTGGTTTCTAAGGTAAATGTAATCTTCAAAATCAAGAATTTTCCCCTAATAATAATCAGGTAGCAGGATGATCATATAAGAAACTTTATTATATAGTAGAAATGTTGAATTTTATAGCAAATAACCATATACCAATTACATCACTTATATATTTACTTGCCTACCTAAACGGCTAAACCATATTATAGAATACAGATGGCTCGAGGACTGTTCAGAGCAACCCAACTATAATAACATCCTATTTTCATTTTTTAATAATAATAGTTATAAATAAAAAGAATTCTTGCGCTATTGCAACTTTTTATTGTGTTTGTGGCTATTAGAAATCCTATAGAAACAACTAATACATAATAAGTTATATAAATCAGAATCAAGGGAAGTAGATGAACTTATATTCATTTAAACAAAGTTATATTTTGTGCACAGAGCACAATCGATCGTTTCGGTGTTTTTGCATTAAAATTCACTTTTTCGTATTTTTACTGGTGAATAATCTAGGAAAAAAAATCCCCAAACCTAAACCTAATCAATAATTTAATACTTAAATTAAAAAAGCGGGCAAGTGGATGTCGCTCTGCTGTACATTGGATATCTAGGAGGTCACTGTAATGGATGGTATTAAATTTTAATTCAATGATATCATTGTTTACGAAAAACGATTCTGAGTGGAGACGATATGTTAGTTTAAGATATTTTATACTGTTATTATTTATTATTAATATGGTAGCCGGTAAGTTGAATTAATATTATTCTTAAATTATCAGTGATGCTAGACAAATATTAAATATACCTATGTAAAATTATTGTCCTTTAAATGTATTTTATTAGGAAATTTTTTGCTATTTCTTTTTTAGAGCAATTTTGGATAGTTTTTAGCACAGTTAAATCCATGCCATAATTATTACTTACCTACCTTTTTTGGGTATTATAATATATATAGTTACCTAACCTAATATATTTTATAGTTAGCCCCCCACGGACCAATAATCAAAAGTAAAAATATTAAACAATAATATGCAATTCAAATCAATACATTTACAAATTAATAATATAATTAAATATAAATATATAAATATAATTCAATAATACGTCATAATAACACCATTGCCAATTCAAAATTCACTAATATAAATATTAAGCAATATAATATAAAGTATAAAATGGAAATAATAATAAATGTCGGTACGGTTTACGAGATTTTTCATTTAATAGGCAATATACAAATTATTTAATTAATGTATAATACAACTCAATATTTTTACATAACTTTGGTTTATCAATCATTATCCATTAAATTGAATAATCATTCCAAATTATAGGTACCCCAAATTTGTAGTTTGTGAATTGTGTTTTGTACTTTATCATTGTTGTTTGACCTGGAATTTATTAGATTTATGTATACCTACCCGTCCTACCCATAAATTATTCCTCTGTTAAATATTAAAATTAAAATTCAGCTAAGACAATGTCAAAGTCAAACACTTTTATGGACATAGATGCCATTGTCAGATTTTAATAATTAAAAACAAACATATTTCTAAAAGTCATGTAAGGGAATACCTAGATAAAGACATAATAATATCTACATGAAGTTATTATAAACGTTTTTAAAAATACAACGTTGAAGGGGCGAATTTTTAACTTTTTAGGTTTCAATGCTCGTGAATTATCCAATAAGTATTTCGTCGATGTTGTCCTGATAGTAAATGGTAATATAACTAATATGATATAGGCAGTAGCAGTGGCATAGGAAGGATAATAGCCAATATGTACGGCAAACAGTGGCAACGTCATCAAGCCCATCAGGGGCACATTTCATTTCAAAAGTTGGCTTTCCTAAAATATAATCGTAATATGTAGATAGCTAAAAAAATATTTTGTGTGATGGTCGCGTGTGTCTCAAAAATGATAAGTAACTAAAATCAAATAAGTTAAAAAATAAAGATTATTTAAAAAAAATTAAGGGGCTGTTAAGGTTTCCTACGCAGTACGTTTTTTGTAATAAAACAGTTGAGGCGGTTCACCCGGACGACCTACGGAAGGTGGTGAATCATCGTCGTCTGTGTGTTGGCAACGTCGCACTTGCATGAATGGAATTCTCGCAGCATGGCCGCCGGCCCGGTAATTATGGTTCCCCCAGACTGGTGCCGGACCGGGTTAATATCACCGCAGTAGCTCTTGTCGTCCGATTGCGGCGATATCGTTGTTTTTAATCGCGTTTGGTGTGTGTTCCATAGACCATAGTGTGTTATCGTGCGACAATAATTGATATTATATATTTTCGTTCTTTCGTTTTTCCGTTGGTTCGCGTCTGATCAAAAATCGCCGTCAATCGAGCGAACGAGTTCGCTTCGAGTTGCGTCCACAGACGAGCTGCGTCTTATCTGACGGCCAGTGTCTGCTACAAGTTAAGAGGTATGTGGGTTCTTATCATTCGCCGCACTGTCCGTAAATCGTAATATTAAAATTAAAATATGATCGTCGTCGACCGCTGTACTGTCCTTAGTGTCGTATATTCCGGTATATTCGAATCCGTCTTCGAAAGGCCCTTAATATGATATGAAAGACATGTTTGTGTCAGTAGATCTCTGCGCACAATATATGGTCGGCCAACGAGTACTGGCGCCAAAACGATCGAACATTTAAAACCAATCGTTTCAATCAGCGCCTCTTCGTCATTATAGACCCACACAATTTGCCAATATTTAATTCAAAATGATTTTTACTAGAAAATAAATAGCATTGGTCAAAATATCACGATTTGTAAAGTGTAGCGATAATGCAATGAATATAGTATCTTTGCAAGGTCGTATCTTGAATGTTTTTCGGTGCGGAATGATGAACCAAAATGTGTCATAACTCATAATTTTAATTGTACTTCATGCAAAAAAATTGGCGAGGGGGGCCTAAACACCATTACCATCTACTAGACCATGTCCAGATATGGCAGAATCAATAATCGTTGATCATTTATTATTTTTGATCTACGGACTGATTTAAATAATTGGTGACTGGCTGTTGTAAATTGTATAGACTTTAGACAGTATAGACGCGTTATAATTTTTACCCGAAGCCTCGGAGGTATAGTAAAACTCATATAGTATTCGTTTCATGACTTTTATCCGATAAATATGTTTAACCCGCCCATATCATAATACGGTTTTAGACTTTTATGTGATTCAAATACGTTGCGCAATGTTACACGGGGCCTTCGGTTTTTATATTTCCGCCGCCGTGATGTTCGATTATTCGGCCTTTTCGCGCGCTTCGTGTCATCTCTGCTGATAAGAATACTTCGCCGCACGTGGCGGCCCGGCTCCGATTCGGCGGCAGGCCGCCACCGTCGCTTCCGCCATAGTCAGCAGCTTTTGGCGCGTTTTCCGTTTTGTGTTAAACATGGCCTGTTGTTACATACTTGATTGTTTCCGGTGACTGACAAACAAACACTAAATTAGCAGTCATAATTAACGTGATTTAAAATATTATTTTGATAAAATTATTGTTGTTACTTGTTTGTTGGAATGAAATATATTGAGAGTAGACAAATGTCTAAGAAATTTGGAATAGTCTTTATCTCTCTGTAGATCTTATACGAAATTAGTGTAATATCGATGTACCTATAGTGATGTGGCATGTGGCGGAAAAGGTATGCTCGGAAGTGCAACATTTCTAATATTGGTCTGGACATTGGTAACTTCTCGTTTGAATGATTCGGGGGGGGGGGGGACTCCGGGAATACTGTAAAAATATATTATGCAATTATTACAATTGGGTGGTATGGCGGTGTATCATTATAATTTATAACCTAACCATGATTTGACTTGTAATAATTAATAAATCGGGACGATTTTGATTATAATAATATAATTTTGTTTATTTCATAGATATTTATCGTAGGTATGTCCCTCAATTCTTTCGCCTCATTTGGTTCAACCGTTACTCAGTTTGGAAAATCTTATAGATAAGCCATAAAGTATAGACCCTAAAGGTCTATTGCATATTATAGATATCCGGTTTCTTTGATGTTCAGACGTCCAAAAAAACACGAAATTTTAAACATTTGAATATTTATTATAATTCGTTTATTTGCCTAATTTTTTTAATGCTACGTCATCAGATTCGTCATACTATTAATCATACAGCACATCATAGTATAAACTGTTTCTAATACGGAGTGCATAAATACCTAGTTGTGTTATTTTTTATAGGTATCTCAAAGTAAATTGTAGGTCATTGTGGTGGTTATTGTTAGGTATATATTTAAATGATATTATGCACTATTATGTGATTGTGTACTAGCCGAGATAGTGAGGTACCATAATGTTTCCGATTTTGTTGTAAAATTTTATTTTTCAAGTCGAATAGTGGTCGGAGTTCGTGCGTGGACACACTTTGGAGAAAAAGAAATAGCTAATAATTTAAGTATGTTTTTAGATTTTATTCACATTGTGTTGTCCTTCCTCCGCTGTTGTCCTCGCAATTCCTAAATTGGGAAGTGTTCATAGGAGAAAGGCGATATTATGATGTAAATACCTACTATGTATCTACCACCTGCAACTTGCAAGTACTAATAAAATGTTGTATGTACCACTGTACCACTGAACCAGACCTATCATCGGAGTTTATTTACAATTTCAAGACTACCTTTGCAGTTTGGAAATTATAACTATTGTTTATGTAATCCATTAGTCTTAAACGAATTTTTAATAAATTAATAAATTTTCTTATTTTCTTAAATTAAAATATTTTAGTCGATCATAAAATAATTGGGAACAGCAGTACAATCATTAATCACGACCTACCTATCTGCTGTCCAATTTAAAACAAAATAAATGCATTAGGTACATATTTCAAGAAATAGTTTGAAAGTCATAACTTGTTGAATGTATAATATGTATATTTTTCGTAGTAAAGTAGTAAAATCAACTAACATTTACAATTATAGACTAATGATTTAGTGTACAAATATTTTTAGACGAAGTATCAATGAGGAATCAATTGTTTTTTACAATTTTTTCTTTTATTTTCCACTAACAATTTTTTGGGTATAATAAGAGTGTTCTATAAGTTTCGTATTGGGCTTTTTTATAGATATGTATTTTGAAGTGTAAGTTAAAACTATACTCATAACCATTAAAATATTTCGAAGAAATGTCTGTAAACAATGTCTTAACCACTGAGAATGATTTATCATTGATTTACAATTTAATGTCACAATTCATAACTCATCGCCATCGTTTACTCCTGTGCCTAAGTGTGAGTGAATCTTGACAAGATCTCGACACGATTATCTGTTGAATATCCGTATTTAGTGTTGTTTTAATTTTTTTTAATAAGTCTTTTACAGAGTATTGCTCATTTATAGCTCATAGCCCACATAGCCTTCTTTCCGTAGCTAGGCCACGTAGTCCCAAATGGTGTTACTTATTAGTAAGTTGTCACTTACAACCTTAACATAGCGTAATTTCGATTTACAACAATGGACTTGGGACTAATTTTTGAGTAGGTACCCTAGTACCTACTACCTAGTTTATCATTTAAACGGCTAATTCTATAGTAGGTATGTTAGAGGAATACATTTAATGTTCAATTTTGTAGGAATCACTTTCTCCTCTTAATAATTAAGTGCCCTCAATACAAACCCGATCATTGACGTTTGTAATGATGTATTACACCTGACATTCTAACTTTGTGATGTAATTATCAATAATAAACATCTGCTATTAATTATTATCACATTCTTCATAGTTATGTAAAAACAAGTGTTCGTGTTCTTGTTAGTGTTATATTTTGTTCTAAGGGGCAAGGTATTTTATCAATATAATAGAAAAATATGGCCTACCTCGTAGTTATATACCTTCTTATATATTATATTATGAATGTATTAATTGTTTCGTAATTAACGTTTTGTAAAATTATACTTGTACCTAATAAAGTAATAACATACTATTATATAAGTAGTATATTATTATATACCTAGGTGCCTGGTGCTTGTAGGATATTGATTTCGTTTATTTTTACGGTTATTTATTATTTTTACCGATTCCGTTACGCAGTTACGATTACATATAAATTAAGCAAATTATGTATAATAGTTATTTGGTAGATGAATCAAAACAACATAACATGTCTTTAGGCTTTAAGCAATCGCAATGATACATTTAAACGCGTAATTTACTTGAGAACGTATGGGCGTTGACCGTGAAACTAAGTTGTCTTTTTTGTTATACAAATGGTATGGTGTGTGTGTCAGTGATACATAATAGTATCATTTGTTACGGATAATTAAAATTTGCTATTTTTCTCATACATATAAATATAGAGAGCTTCCAACAATAACTTTTTTGCTTTGTATTTGACATAGACACACAATACATATAAGTACCAACAATTTTTTAAACATTACGTAGTAGTGTAGTGCTAATATGCGTACCTATATATAAATAGTATCAGGAATTAAATATAAAAGCGTATAGAATTTTTTTTCAATTCTGAGTGTTTTTTAGATTTTATTGTTTTTATTACATAAGTGAGTTATCATGTTGACGTATCTGACCAGGCATTTTTTTCGTTTATGGGTAGTCGTGTGTGGTGTCTTGTACACCGCAACCTTGAACGAGCATCTTTGGGTTTCAATAAACTAGGGAGCACCCCAAGTAGGAAACGAACACGTTTTACAACGTTACCAGTACGACGATCAATGAATATTGAATAGAAAGCAAACATATTTCAAATTTAAAGGATATTTACTAAAATACGTAGGTACACATACGTATAATGCGTGCACCTTGTTTTTATCGACATTGTCAGTAACGTCAATCATTCCTAATTTTTAAATTTAAAAGTATTGTGGCACGTGTAGTATATAGGTATGGTTTTAAATAAACAGTGCATTTTTAATAAACCATAAATATAAATCATTTGTATCTATCTGCATTATACTTAACAGTTAAAAGTAAATGATCGTGATTCGTGATTCAAATAGAATTATCTAGTTCAAAAGCGCAAAAGTATAGTAATTTGTGGACAATACTGAGAATACCATTTGTGACTATAATCGTATTATATAAGTTATAACCACAACGTAAATGCACCATGATTATATCGACAGCCATTTGAATCATCGTTAGTATTGTTATTTCCATACTAGTCGATTGTATCCGCTATAGTTACAGTATAGTATTCTGTCTCATTACATAGATTTTATGTTATGCGGTCCTGTAAAGTCAAAGGTCTATCGGAGACATGCGTTCGATTATCTATATCATTCTTATGGGTAGCGTCTTTTTAAAATAATACTATTATCTTACAACTAATTTTTATTTATTACCAGTTATAAATAGTGGTGTTAAGCAGTTAAAAGTAATATTACTATTTTAATGAAATAATTCTTGAAGTTTCTATTTAGATATCGG